ACACACACACACACACACACACAACACACACACACACATATACTACGATGAGCATCACGAAGATCTGATCTCTGCCGATTTTCCCTTTTTCAATAGACGATAGCGATAAAGACGGAGGTCATCGTTATCCTGTTTTTCAGAAAAAGGAGGTGGCAGGATTAAAGGATGAAAATTTCGATGCAATCATTTTCTTTTTGTAAAACCTAGAAAATAATGAAGTAGTAGGCGATGAAATGGATGAGAGAGTAATAGATGGATGGATGGGTTGGGTTAGATGATGGAAGAGAAAAAGGAATTCTTGAACTGGATATTATTAAAATCAGGATTCCTAAATACACTATCAACTTTCTGCAAAAAGGAAATTGGGAAAGTTGTAGCGGTATTTTTATTTATCAATGATGATTGGAAAAATTTTTTCAATCATTTTACAACGAAATAAAAAACAAAAAAAAAAGTAAGAAATACATTAATTTTGTTATTAGGTTAAATTTATTACTTTTTTAATTTTTGAAAAATGTGCTTTTATCAATGCAAAAGATTTACATGCTTGTTAATGAGGATGAGTTTTACAAAAAGAAAAAAAAAGTGTGTATGAGAAGAAAAAGAATGAGAATTTATAATTAAAAAAAAAAAAATAGAAAGACTTGATTTGAATTTTCGCAAGATTTGAAGTGAAGTGAAAAAGGAAATGAAATGATTAATTTCTTTCAACTTACCCGAATCATTAAATAAAAACATTGGTCATGTCGTATCACTTTCTCTTCTCGGATTTTTCATATGCCCCATCTTAATGTCTCTTTCTTTTCTTTTCTTTTCTATAATCCTTTCCTTCATTTATCCATACATAAAAATTCAAAAAATATAAAAATTAAAATTAGAAAATTTTTTAATTAAACTTTAATTGAAATTTTCCATTGAGTATGAAATAAGCAGAAATTTTTTAATAACATTTAATTATGATCATTAGTTTGAAGCATAAATTATTATTTAGAAAATTTATTGAGAATGATCGAATTGTTATCAACTAATTCCAACGTGCTATCATTTTTTACATTGTTTTTTCATTGAACTGAAAATTTCAAAATAGATCTTAAATCAATTGAAGAAAAATTTTAAGTCTTAACTTACTGTTGTGGACAAACATTTTATTTATAGAGCATTAATATTTGTCATCAATCAATTTCAGTTGATATCTTTCTGAGTTGCAAAATTTGAATTCATTACTAGCAATTAAAATTAGCAGTTAAAATGAAGCTAGCAATTAAAACAAACTCATGTTCCATAATTTTATTATTCAAAAATAAATCTATTGCAACATTGTTTTATTACTCCTTTTTTTGATTTTCGCAAAAATTATTAATTAAATTCCTATTGTTAATCCATTTTCGAAATGAGATGATAATCAAAAAATTGCACATTTATTTTCTAATTTGTTCTTCACCGACAAATTTTTCATTTTTCATTTTACTTTCGTAATGCAATTTGCTATTCCCATATGATTTCTTTTTAAGTATTAATTCAAATTTTGACAGAAATGAGTCATTTAACCTTTTAGCTGAAATTAATAAGCACAGTTGAAGAAAAAACTTATATCAAAGACTTTGTTTTGGATCAATTCAAAAGCAAAATTAATATTATTCATGTTATATAATCAAAAATTAATCATTTCATTTCTCTGTTCCAATTCAAATCCTTTCCATTTTTTTCTTCACCAATTACATGATGTTACATAAATTTTTAAATTAATTTTAAATAATTTCCTTTTCTCAGTAATCATATCACTATTTTATCAATGTATTGAATTGTGGAGGTGATAAGAATGATTTAAACATTATCAATGATCTAGGAAAACAATATGCTATTTCATAGTTTTTCTCTCTTTTTTTGTATATCAATGCATTTTCTCAGTGATTTTTCGATCAAACTTCAAAAATGACGATGATGGATACGAGTGGGAAATGACTCCTCAAAATTAATGATAACCTAAATTAACAGTGGAACTGAGCTTGCAATGGATTTTTTAAAATTCCGATCATAATTGATACTTTTTTATATTTTGCAAAAAAAAATTTTTGCCAAGCATATAATTTAGTGATATTATATGATTAAGCTGATAAGTGTTAACTCAATATGATCGCTCGGAATTATCAAATAATAATTGATAAGTTAAAATTAAAATTAAAAAAAAGATGATATCCTTTCCCAAAAATATTTCAATAATTTCAGTTCTCGTTTAAAAGCAATTTTTTATCTGAATGATTGATCTTTGTAACAGCACAAATGATTGCCTCCTTTTTGCCAATGTTTCGATAAATTTATCAAATTTAATATCAGCCAATATTTCATTTCAAAAAAAAAATTATTCCCATTGATGGAATTTTGTTTCATTTTATATTTCGGAATGTATTGTTGAACATACATTCTGAAATAATTTAGTAGCTTTTTAAATTGTCTTCTTTAAATTCATAATAATAAGTTACTAACATATATAAATCAGTGGCCAATTTGAATTCATAAACTTATATTAATTATTTTATCAAATTTCAATGCCTTCCTAAAAAATTTATGTAATGTCTGTGACAAAAAAAGGAAAAAATGCAGCATTCTAACTGATTTTCAAAATTGCTATTCAGTAAATTTACACTTGTAAAAGAATAAAAATTCAATAATTAAAACGAAAATTGTCATCCGCTACTAACAGTAAAAGTTAATAAGTGAAAATAATGACCAAATGACCAGTAGTAACCGGAAATTATCTCCCTTCCCCCGCTTCTTCTCAACTTCTCCGATTTTTCCTATCATCATTTAATCAGTTTATTTCTTTTTTATTCACTTGAAAACCGCACATTTTGAAAAAACGAAATGAAAGAGATTTCTGTTTGAATATTTCGTGATTTGATTGTATGTTTTCTGAACAATGACAAAAATTTCGGTACCAAAAAAAGTTGTGATTTTCTTTTTTTTTTCTTTCGTTTTCTCTCCGAACGAAAATACCATACAATAGTAATTTTAAATTGAAATTAATGGCACAAAAAAGGAAAATTGAAGCTGTGAATTAATTCACCCTTTTTTTCATAAAAATATTGAAAATTGTTTAAAATTGGTACATTTTACATTTTATTGTTCTGTAAAATTCGTGTTTGCTTTTGAATTGAAGCGAATATGAGCTGATTCTTGAATAAATAATTAATTTTAATTTCAACTCAAAATTTCAATCCAAATTTTTTTTACTTCAGATACATTGGCAATTAATATAGGAGGTTACTTTGTTGTATGGTCATTAGACTATCGTATTTTTCCCATTCAACAAATAATGACTTTGAAATTTTTGATCAAATTACATTACTCTTTCATTTTTCATTCATTTGTTAATTGTTATTCGAGAATATAACATAACATTATTAAAAATGTCCTTTTTTATCGTTGATTTTAAATATGATGCAAAAAAATTTACCATAAAATCACGCATAAATTTAAAGATAAAATAAATTTCATTATTTTGATCAGATATGTTATGTGAAAAAATATGTCAAAATGTATATTTATGTATTAATGCACATTGAAATATATGAATTGATTTATCAAAACTAATTTAGAATCGTTAAACAATTGGTGACATTTCTTATCAGTTCATTATTTTTACAAAATATTTCATCCATTGCCCTTTTCTAGTAAAGAACAATAAGGAAAAATTTTAAATTATAAATTTTTCCATAAATTTAAAGTATATTATGACCTACTTTTTTCTTTTCTGCTTGGAATGAAATAATGACAGTAATAAAAATTAAAACTTTTTAAAAAAATAACTCATTTTAATTTGAAAAAAACGAAAAATCTCCAAAAAAATAACCATTAAACCGGAAAGGGTAAGAGAAGCAGAGGAAAGGGCATAATAAAACATAGCACTATTGATTAAATTAACAGATCAAATAATTCTGAACCTAAACTGATTGATGAAAACTTGTTTTTATAAAAGTTGCTTCTCTTTTGAAGTGTATTGGCTTCTCTTTCAAAGAAAAAAATTGATAAAACAAATTATGCTAGTATGGAATTTCCAAAAATCCCAGGAAAATAGTTGATTTAGCATTTAAAATTTCATCTTTATTGTCTTTTCTTTTGATTTTGTCAACAAAAAAGAATAAATTTAAAGATCATGAAAAGATATTGAAAATACACATTACACATATGGAAAAAATGGTTTTATGATATCCATCTTAAAAAACCGGATTCCGATTTCTTTAATAAGATAAATTCATTTGAACTAGATTACATTTATACATAAACCTTTTACAATAATTAATGAATAAAAAATTTATATAATTAAAAGTAAACTCTTTCTGTTTGCAAATAGCATAGCTTTTTGGAAATTAAAAAGTGATGAAACGAATTCATTCAGTAATAATATTAAGTGACATTTGTTAATGATATCAGATAAAATTAAAAATTATTCGAACATTTCGAATTTCATTTCTTGTTTTATTTAAGATTTATTGAAAAATAATAAATATCAGTTTTGTGTGTAGATTGAATAACTAAA